CATTCGAAGGAAAATATGGCTCCTTCGAAATTGGGAGGCAAATTCACAATGCCTTTCCCTGTTCCATCGAAATTGGATGGTTCGTGAACTTCTCCAGAGACTCCAGAACCAGCCCCTCCGTTACCAGCCAGCAGGTTCGCCGGTTCGGCACCGCTTGCTGAGGCTGCAGGTGTGGGACTTGCGGTCACCACCTCTCCCGTCCGTTCGCGCCAAAGGCCCAACTGCTACTCCACGCGTGTGCGGTGGGACACTGGGAATAGCTTCGTCATGATGCTCCACGATGCAGGTGTGTGATCGGCTCTCCGTGGGCCGCCCCCCGTCCTGTCAGTCAGCCGCCAACTTTGCAATTTTTGGCTACACCGCACGCACACCGACCGCCCTGCCATCCCGGTCAGGGTACCATTGTCTCGTAAAATCCAGTCATCAGCAATCACAGAAAACCGAGAGGCACAGCGAACACATTGGGGTTAGCCGTCCCAGCCGTGTGCCACGCCCCGTCCTGCAGATGCAGCGTCGCATCCAACGAGTCCCGTGACGGTTCCAATGAGCCGGTACCAAGCCAAAAAGTTGGAATCACAACAGGCGGCATGTCTCCGACCAACTTCTTTTTTTTCTCCATCCCATCTCGGTGAAGTTCCATTTGCAGACCGTATTCTGCCGTCCGTTCTCACGATGCCGACGCGGGAAGGGGGGGTGTGCGCTCAAGCCTTGGGATGTCTGCTTGCCGCCGCCGCTTGCTTCTTTTTCCAGAACCTACGGGAATGGCATCTCCCCCACAGACGGAAGAGCAAGAAAAGGGCTAAAGTGCATGCATTCGCTAGTCGTTCGAATATTACCCATGTTGCTCAGGAACAAAGAGTCCGTGCCATCGATTCAAGCTACATTCCACGATCACAGAGACAAATGCGCTTGGTGTCTTGTGTGTGTCCTGTCTCGCATGTCTAGCGTCGCGGTAGCTCGATTGCTTCAATTAGCCGGCAACCCATCACAAACGGTGCCTGAGTCAGAGGAAGGAGCTCCTCATCTTCGGCCGAAATCGAAATCTCCGTATCGTGACATTAGAAACTTGGTTGCTTTTCTGTGCCCATAGCGATGGGGCTATTGACGTTGACGAGCTGTCACTAACACGACAGCTTGCTGTCATTTCTCTCTCAGAGTCTCAGACGAACCAACCACCCACCGCGACGCTCCTCCACGCGGGCTGCTGCTTTCGGCGATCCTGCGACATCGGCTGCCTTGGACGAACCCTTGCAAATATTGGTGATCAACCCGGAAAAAGTCCAACACACAAAAGGCTGCAGCTTTGATTCCGAAAGGGTCGCACAAGGCCCTGGGAAAGCCATCATCTGATCGATAACCCCATCACGAACCCTGTTTTCGCGCGGTTGTTTTCGGAGGCTCGGCAGTTCGGTTGACTTTATTGGGCTTGACGCCGCTCACTTTGTCGAGAATGCGCCGTCAGAAAGCGACCGCCGCTGCGGTGATCAAGGTGACACGGAACACGATCACCATCCACTGGCCCCCAATCCCCAGCCGTGCCAACCATTCAGCTGCAGGTGAGCCGGGGGATGCGATTTCGCCAATGTTTTGGGATATGAGCCAGGACTGGAATCCCCCTCATGACGGGCATGTCAAACCATGTCAGAGATCGCAATTTCTCCAGTTACGCTGGGCCCCCAACCAACCCCAGAACCAAGCCTGCACTCACCGCTTGAAGGAATCGTGCAAGTTGGTCGGCTGAGACGTGGCCAAGACATCAGGCTGATGTCGATTGATTATTTTGGAAGTCCCCCGGTCGAGCCAGGCGTTCGTTGATCGATGTTGATGAGCGAGCGACGGGGCTTGTCAGAGACCTTCACCACGTAAACAAGAATTTGACTGCTGCGCGGGCGAAACATTGGCATGTCTCAACGCTAGTGGAATGCCTCTGATTTAACGTCTGTTGCTGCAAGTTGAGCTGAAGATTTGTCGAACATGTCTCTGCCGACGGCGACGTCCGCCGAGACTAACAGCATTGACAGCTCAACGACTTGGCTCCGTGCATCTGGCGTGAAAGACAATTCTCGAACCATTGTGAGGCGAACTCGTTCGTGACATTGGCTGCCCGGGCAACGAGTATCAAGAGCGGAAGCACAGGTGGTCCGAGTGGCTGAATTGCATGATGCGAGGAGCCAGCCGTGTCTCTGGAGTCCTCGATGGCATCCTTGCCTGACTTGCAGCCCTACGATAGCCCCCAAAACGCTGGGGAACCAATCTCGCTATTGCCTTGCCTGCCTGGCTGAGCTCAGCTCACGTTACAGTACCTCTGATATCGATGCATCGATCAGAAGATGGAAGCGCCTCTTCGCGCCATTCCTGCAGGTCCCAGCAGCTCCAGCAAGGCTGTGCGACGGATGGCGTTTTTAGGTGTATGTAGTGTCCCATCGGCGGGAGTCTTAGTGACCTCGGGAACGCAAAATAGTAGCTTCGGTGAGAGCTAGCTACCGCAAAGGGCATCGTGTTTGCAATATTGAGTAAAGCGACAAGTCAGAAAAGGTGCCACAGAGTGCAGGCATGCCGTCATAGATTGTCCGCGGCTGCGGCGCGTTGCACAGCCTCTCGCAGCACTTCGATCGTGACATTGTCGGATGAGCTGGAAATGAGTCGATGCTACTATTCACGGAAAAAATTCACCGCACAGAAGAGTCTCGGAAAGCTGCTTCATCGGTTGAGCAACTGTCGTACTCATCTCAAGAGTCTCAGACAATTCGCGTTTGTTCGACGGGCTCTCAGAGCCCCATCTCGTCCCGCGCGACCTCATGATCGTTTCACTGGCCTTTTTCGTCACGATACTGACAAGCCAAGTGTTCTGTCATTTCCGCGCGCTGTCTCTGGTTTCCGCAGTCCGACAGAATGCAGGCCATTGGCCGTTCGCCAAGGGAGGCGTCGGCAGCCTCGGCATGGCCAGTCTGAACAGAGGCAATACGGTCAACTCTCGTTGCATAGCCAATCAGAGAGCCCAGACACAGAGCCGTAAAGAGGCATCTGAAACAATGCTCTCTCGTCCTCGCTTCGCAGTGACACGAGTGCGACGCAAGCCCCCAAATGACAAAGTGTGAGAGGGCGAACAACGTTCAGTAAAGTCCGCCCCACGTCCGCAGCAGCTCGGCCACTCACCGTATTCCCACGTGGTGGACAAGGGGCGGGCTGACGAGCAAGAACAACCACCCCTGACGATCATACCTTGAACAGGGGCTCAACGGGCGACTGCGACGTCCGGGCTCGAATCACGTGCCGTGCTGCACGCAGCTCAGTGGTTGGTAATTCAGGCTCAGCGCTGTGGTTTGCTGCGTTTCTGCATCGCGATGCCGCGTTTGCTGATCAGCTGGTGTGGTTTAGTCGCCCAATAGACTGCTTGGCCAACACCAAGCTACAGACAACCACTACTGCAGGTACGGTGGCAAACGGCAATGATTCGATATCCCGCATTCCAGTTTTTGTCCAATTTGTATTCCGCTCCTCTCGGCTTCCGAGACGCTTCCCTCGGCCCCTTGAAGTTGATTACAATTTCTTGCAGCACTTTTGAAGCAAGCAAGGAACACCACGGCGGACGTCGGGCTAGACGTATTGAAGCAGCCTCAACCTGCGGACGAACAAGCTCATCTCGTAAATGAGGACAAAATTGACCCCTTCTACCCCATACCATCTTGCCGCAATCGCGGTGTTCATGACCCACTTTGCTTGATGTCGTACGCGATCTGTCGAAAATAGGTAATCCGGAGAAGCCAAAACGCTGCCATTTTAGGCAAAACGAAGAGAAATGTCCCCCCGTGCTCCTAACTCCGCCTGCTGTATCCTTGCGTGGGGGATTTCTGAGACGAAGGTCTGTCTGCAACAGATGCTGCACGCACGTCCCGTCTGAACGGTGACGGAGTGTAGAAACGGTCAACATCGGCCGACTTTCGTGAACACCCACCCACCGGCCGACCGGATCGGTGGGGGGAGGAAACGGTCTTTCGGCCGTACAACATGGCGTCTTCCCCATGGGACGAGGCCAAGTCGTACGTGCATGTTTCCGCAGCTTCGTTATCAAGTACGTCAATGGCTCGATAGTTGGTTGCCATGCTATTCCTGTTCGACGATCACCCACACCCTCCGCTACCTCGCAGATGGAGGTCATGCGGCCAGCAAACTGGGTTGCGGTTCGACGGAGGATCTGCTGTGCCGCGCTGACACCATTGCTGCAATCAATTCTAAACCGTCAGCTTAGCGGGGTAACGGGTAACGATCACCATCTTATCGAAATCCCCTGCAAACCTGCAAGGCTTTCCAAAGGCGGTGTTGAGGCTGCAATCCTTATCAGATTACCTGCGGCCGTCCGTCAGCGTGGGTTGCTGTGCAAACCTCGGTACCGGTGGGGTTGACCACGGTGTGTAATCGACTGGACGGTCTGCCTGGATTCAAGATGCTTGAGGCCGCATTGCCGTCCGCGCCCGCTGGCATGGCGTCAGAGGCCCTCGTCAAGTCGTCCGACTGCTCCGTCCGTGCCTTTGCCGGACGGCCTAACGGGAGACTGCCGCGCTTCTGCCTGTCGATGAGCCATAGCCTGGATGTGATCGGCCGAAGCAGCTGTAGTCAAGCTGTCGTTATCGGGATCCTAAGCCACCATCGCTGGAAAGGGTGGTGTGCAGCTGTGCAGCCAAGGATCCCACGACACCATTGCTCAACGCCCACGGTGTAGTTCAGCTTCGTAGGCAACACGTTGCCTGGTACTTTGATGGGATGTATCTTTTTCTTGAACAGAGTTGGTGCGTGGGATTAGCCTTCTGTTGCGTGTTCAGCAAGGTTGGCGTCAGCGTCCCATCTTGGACCTGGCTGTGTGTGACATCCTTGTTGGAGGTCCCCGATTCGGGTGTCCGTGATGTCCATACTCGCGATGGACCTTCCAGAGAGCGAGTAAACCCGTCAGCAAGGACCTGACACAGCGACTCTTGAGACAGCCGACGTGCGTTTAAAGACTTATGTCATTCAGCGGTGAACCACCGTGTCCCCTGGTCGTTTTCGGGTCCGGCAGCTTCGGCGACCGCTTGAAAGCGAACTTCAGAAATGTGACGCTGTTGGTAATCACTTGTACAGCCGCCTGCTTCGGACCGAGTTTGCGCTGTCAGAATGTGCCGTTCGCTCATCGAGATGTCATCGTCGATGCAGTTCAGGTGAGTCAGTTTCCTGCTCAGTAGTTCACGCCAAGAAGACACCGCGACAGTCAAGAAGAGGGGTTAGAAACGAAATTCTAAAGTTGGCGCAGGCGCCGGTTGATGTTCAATGATTCCGGTGGAGAGGGAACTTCGTAGATCTAGCGTTGGCTTGGCATAAGTGCCCCAAACTAAGACGTAACGTCGTAAGCTCCATCAGCCACAGACCATGAGGCTGGGCTGTCGTCTGCCAATCAATTGGCGTGTCATTGAGCTCGTTTCACTTGTCGCCCGTCTAGCTAAACATCGTCGACCGTGCGCTCGTTTTTCAACAACTGTTGCCCATGGCTCTCGAGGATCAACGACTCGGCACCATGCCGTGGCAGAGCACTGGAAACCCGGGGACTTTCCTGGCGAGCAAGACGGAGCCCGTCCGCGTGGCCAAGCGCCGTCTGGAGGCCGGAATATTCTTTCATACGGCACGGGCGGCCATTTGGCCAGAGTCCGGTGATCGAGCCCAGGATGTCCATGTATTTCCCCAGCGTTACCCCAAGGCTTGGCCAACACCAACCCTGGGCACACGTGTCCCCGACATGATTCTTGAACCATCTCGCTCTCGCCATGGTCATGTAGTGGGGCTCCCTCGAAACAACCGTTCCTGGGATATTCGCCTATTCCTGCTGCAAGGCCTGCGAAAAACTCCAGATCTCGATCTGACTGTGAGGGTGCATCTTATGATTGTCGCGTGTCCTATCACGAGAGGGCGCTCGGCGGTATCCATACACACGAAACAGTAGGATGACAGTCCATCAGTAATACCATCATCCTATAGCCATATTGCATCCCAACAAATGACAGAAGTGTCAAATTCGATCCGAAGCGGGCTGTCATCGTACCATCGCGTATTCATGCCACCAGAGACACTAACTTAGGCTGGAAAAGCGGCATCATCTCGTCATGCTTCTCGTGTTGGGTTGGGTGTGTAGCAGACATGCCTTGTTTGCTTCTTCGACCCACGCCTCACAAGGCGTCTTCCTCGGCACCAGGGTTAGGCATCTGAGTTGAGGTGATCCAGTTCTCCATGCTGGCTTGGCCAGCCGGCTGCTTGGCGTTCCCAGAAGTGCCCGACGACGCCAGCCTCAGACCTTGGCGTTTCTTGACGACGAGGCACAGGACACGACCGTAGATGGCAAACCCCTCATACGAGACATCCATGGCCATCTTCTTCTTGTCGTCGTCTTCCTGGTCGTCGCCAGACCCGGTAGTCTGTTTCTTCAGGCGCTTGGACGGGCGGGGAGCGTCGTCGTCCGAGTCTATCTCGATTGCCGAGGCCTCCCCGCCAACATCGTCGTCCGAAGCAAGGTCGTGATCATCGTCTTGATCACGAGCTGCCCCGCGCTGTCTTTTGGAGCGCCGAGGCCGTGTTGTTTCATCAACCGCGGGGACACGGGAAAGACCGGCGGGCTCTTCTTCGGACTCACTTTCGTGCCGAATGTGCACCATAGTATCGGCGGATTCGGCGTCCAGGTCAATGGGTGTGTCATTGGTTTCGTTTATGAGCTTATTAGAGTTGGACTTCAACTTGCTCTGTGCCTTGTCGCGGAAATGCTTGTGCTTAGTGAGCAGCGAATGACGGGTGGTGGTCTCAGTCAAGAACATGGAGACCTCAAACTCGTCTGGTCAATGCAGCGGTCAGTCTAATGTTCAGACAAACCATGCTTTCATACCGTATATGGTGGTCCAGACCAGGCTGATTACGACGTTGGAGAAGTGCTTGGATGGGAAGTGGCAGCGTGCAAGGCTGCGAAACAGGGTGGCAAACCTTGAACGACGACATCTTTGATGGCCTTCTTCTTGGAGCTCTTCTTTTTGGATCTTTCGCGTTCCTTTTCCTCGCGGAGTTTTGGTAATACCAGGGGGCGGACACTCTCAATGACTTTGGGCAGGATGGGATTCCGTGGGTTGAGCAACCAGCTCTGTGCCAGGGCCGGGTTGTCGAGATAGATGCGGCATTCAAGCACCGAGTACTTTGTGATCCGGAGATATCGGCGGAGGGGTGCCATTATTCAGGTTCGAAGTAGGTCGTGCTGGATGGTGTTGCGGTCGCAGGGAATCTTCAAAGGTTCAGCTGCGTGTGTCCAGGACGAAGACGTGCTTCGCTGAGAAGATGGATGAGGCTGGCAACGTCGTATGCAAAAGTGAGTCAAGCGAGAAGCTGATGAAAACCTAGATGACCGCAAAAGGACGTGCTTGAGATGAGCAGGAAAGGAAGGTCCAGCGTTGAATGCGACGTGGTTTGGACAGAAGGAAGTCAACGGGAGAGTGACGCTGTTGATGTGATGTGAGAAAGGCCCCCACCGTGCCGAGGGAGGTTCCTTCCCCGGGTTTGCCTGCATGCAGTTGCAGTGGTGGATGGGGGTGGTACTTGCCCAGCTCCGGCAGGTACCTCACGTAACTCAGCTTTGGCGGCTCTCAAACATGGAACTTTACAGTGGACTGTCAGCCTTGCAGCGGTGCTACCTGCGCTGTTGCTGCTGCGACCTCGGTGCGATGCAGGCGGTGTGCCCCACTTAATATTTTCTCAGTCGACGGATGAAGCATTGGATCGCGTCAATTCGTCGGCGATGAAGGTCAACATCGACAGCATCCCATAGAGCGCATCGTCGTTGCGGCTAGTCCACCTCCCACACACCCGTCCCGCGGTGATGCCCACGAGCAGACCATGTCAAAGTCATGGGCATCGACGCTGAGGTTGCCCAAGTCCACCTTCCCGTAAGGACCTGACCCCCGCCCTCCGCTCCGGCCTCAGCTGACCCGGCCCGTTCTAGACCTCGCCCGCTCCCGCAGTTCCGCGCCGACTACCTGCGCCGATGCGCCGATGATTTCTACAAATGGCAGTCGGCCAATGACTCTCGACCGGGCTTTACGCTTCACGATGGGCCCCCGTACGCGAATGGTAGCCTTCACGTTGGCCATGCCTTGAACAAAGTCCTCAAGGACATGATCTCCAGAGTCAAGGTCCAGCAAGGTTGGAACCACTGACCCTACAGCACCAATGCTTCGGCAGCTGACTCTGTATACCCAGGTTACCGAGTGCGATACAGACCAGGCTGGGATTGTCATGGTCTTCCGATCGAATTGAAAGCCGTAGGCACCTCTGGCGGCAAGGACATGACCGCCGTTGAGATTCGAAAAGCTGCGAGGCAGCTCGCTTCCAAGACAGTGCTGGAACAGATGGAGGGTTTCCGATCATATGCTGTCATGGGCGACTGGGACGCACGCTGGACGACCATGGACCCCGACTTTGAGATTAGGCAGTTGCGTCTGTTCCAGCAGATGGTCCGCCGAGGCCTCATCTACCGCAAGAACAAGCCCGTATACTGGTCTCCGTCCTCGAGAACCGCGCTCGCTGAGGCCGAGCTGGAGTACAACGAGAACCATGTGTCGACGGCTGCGTACGTCAGATACCCCATCATCGACGGCCCTGCCCTCCCCGGTTTCTCTGGTCAGCTCTACGCCATCATCTGGACTACCACCCCCTGGACACTTCCCGCAAACAAGGCCATCGCCATCCACGACTATCTGGAATATGCCGTCATCGCTGTCAACGGAAGCGCATACCTCACTGCTGTCACTCGTCTTGAGGCCGTTAAGGCCCTCTTCACAGACGCCGAATCAGAGGTCATCGTGCCTTTCATTAAGGGCTCCGAGCTGAGAGGATTGAAATACCACAACAGGCTTCAGGGCGTTCAGTCGACTCCCCAGCCCATCATCCACGCAGACTTTGTCTCTGCCGACTCTGGTACCGGTCTTGTTCATATTGCTCCTGGTCATGGTTTCGAGGATTACGAAGCTTGCGCCGCGCTGGGGATCGACGCTTTTGCACCCATTGACGACGAAGGAAACTTCACCAGCGAAGCCTTCCCTGATGCACCCGAAAAGTTGACCCAATCCTCCTCGATCCTCAAGGGTGGCAGCAAGGCTGTTCTCGCCCTCATCGAGGACGACGTCTTGCAAGCTGCCAAGTACAAGCACAAGTACCCCTATGACTGGCGGACGAAGCAGCCCGTAGTCATGAGGTCGACCGCACAATGGTTCGCCGATGTGGACAGCATCAAGGACGACGCGATCACCGCGCTGAAGGATGTCAAGTTTGTCCCCGCCTCTGGAAGAAACCGACTCGAGAGCTTCGTCGTGGGCCGTAGCGAGTGGTGCATCTCTCGCCAGCGTGCCTGGGGAGTTCCCATCCCCGCCCTGTATGATGCCAACGGCGATGCTGTGGTTACGGAAGAGTCTGTCGACCACATCATCTCAGTCATCCAGAAGCGCGGCATTGACGCCTGGTTCTCCGACGCCCCTGATGAGCCCGCCTGGGTTGCCCCCTCTCTCCAAGGTCGTTACCGTCGCGGTACTGACACCATGGACGTGTGGTTCGACAGCGGCAGCAGCTGGACCGAAAGTGGCGGCCAGGCTGACGTCTACCTCGAAGGCTCTGACCAGCATCGCGGTTGGTTCCAGTCAAGCCTCTTGTCCTACGTTGCGGCCCAAAGAGCTGAGGGTGAAACGCAGCCCAAGTCGCCTTTCAAGACTCTCATTACTCACGGTTTCACTCTGGATGCAAAGGGCAAGAAGATGTCCAAGTCCCTGGGCAACACCATCACCCCTGGCGAGATCATGGACGGCACACTGCTGCCGCCTCTCAAGCTCCGAGGCAAAGCCAAGGTCGCCGGCGCTGGTCCGACCTACGAGGCCCTCGGCCCTGATGCCATCCGCCTCTGGGCCGCCAGCTCCGAGTACACCAAGGACGTCGCCATCGGCCAGAATGTTCTCAAATCAGTTCACATCCAACTGGTCAAGTACCGCACCATCATCAAAATGCTACTCGGCTCGATGCACGAGTCCGCTCGCACCGCCCCCACGACGACCCTGGACCATATCGCCCTCGTCCAACTGAAGGACGTGATGGAAGAAGTCCAAAAGGCTTATGCATCCCACGAATTTTACAGAGCTTTCAGCGCCATCAACCGCTGGGTCTCCAACGACCTGTCCGCATTCTACCTTGAGGCCATGAAGGACCGTCTCTACTGCGGCGACGGCGGCGGCGTCCTGGAGCCCATCTTCCACGGCTTCCTCC